ATGGTACCGCGGCGTACCTGTGTATTACTACTCGACCCGTGTCCTTCTTGAGACCTGGAGAGGGGGAGACGACCCAATTGGAGGCGGTTTGGAACTGGGGATGAAACACAAAGAATCCCCTGTACCTGAGGTAAGGACTGCCACCTTCTTGGCGACTAAATTCGTCTACATCCAAGTACTTCCCGCAATATCCACAGCATGATTACTCTCGCGGGCACATTCCCTCGCCCACCAACCAGCGCCCGAGACGCAATGTACTTGCTCAAGCCGCCCAAGGTAGCACTGTCAAAGCCCCAGCTCCAGACCTTATCCGTCACCCCTGTTTCACATCCCGACACTCGATGCGATGCGTACGCATCCCTTGCAGCCCATCACTCGTCAGCCTAGGGGGGAGCTTGAGCCACCCATCCCATCTCTGCCTTCCTATCCCTAGGAACTGACTCGCTCACTGCAAAAGCTAGGACGAAGCGGAATTCGCACAACCTGGCTCCCAAAGCGCTCGTTGAAGAAGATACGGCAATGCCCTCATCGACACAGCTGGGCTCGATGTTCTGCATGCTGAGAAACCCCGACTAGTTCCAGTGGGCGTTTCAGCCAGCCACCCCTTGGCCTCCTTCACCCTATAATTCCATCAACCCCGACAGAACCAATGAGGGGCTAACAGCTTCTGGCGCTGGGGAGAGCGCCGGGCCGTGAGCTGCTCACCTAGCCGTTTCAACCTCCGTCAGGGGCAGATCTATGGTAAGAGGCAAGGCTAGGTCAAACATGTTGCACCCAGAACCATCCCACATTCCTGTTCTTTCATTATCCACATCCTGAAACGTCTTCTCTGTTTCCCAGGCTAGGTTTAATTTACCTCTATCACGCTAGAACGGGACATAACCGGGTGGAAGTGGAGAAGTGTCAGCTTCGAAAGCCATGGTGCTTGTTCAATAGCCGTGGACTAAACGATGGCGATGCCTTGCTACAAGAGTAGATCCAAAGATATAAAACCGTCTATATTCTGAGTATATTTCGTCCTACCATCTCTTTCATATAGAAAAAAAAGAAAATAAAAAAGTAAAAGGGCAATATGCAAGTAGGGACATATACCTAGCCATAGCTTCCCGCGACCATCATCATAACCATGAGAAACACATACCAGCCATTCGTTACCCTTATAAATACCATCGCCAAAAGCCTTGGTGTCAGCTCAAGAAGTCCATTTGCGATGCACTGAATAATAATATAGAAGAAGAAGAAAAACATGCCCTGCCCTTCCTCGGAACATCAGAATGAAAAATTAGCCTGTTGCCAAGCAAGTGTCGAGAAGAAAAAGAAGTAGTAGAAGAGAAGCAAAGAAGAACCATGGGTGGGGGAACCAACTCCCATAACCCGGACGCCAACGCATCATGATGGACTGTATAAATGTCATCAAGGCTCATAGATAATATAGCCACGTTGCCAAAACATGGCTTGTTCCATTCTTCCTGGGAACGACCCCGGGCCTGATTAGTTAATTATTTAGGATTTCCTCTTGAAGGCAAGAAGATCTGCCAGGCTGGCAAGTGGACAACCGTGCTTCAGGAAATCATGGTTCAATAATTCATGAGCGGATGCTCGGCTCTTAATGTCCACACACAAGCAGACAGAGAGGAAAGCCTTGAGCTCCTTGCTTAGCTTTTCCGGCTTCTTGAGGCGTGGTGTTCCGTTGGTCGCAATAAGGTAGAGAGCCTTGAGGGGTTCCTCGTTCAAGTATGGAGGCTCGGACTCAATCATCTCGATAGCCATAATTCCGAGGGACCAAATATCGACCTTAGGCCCATACTCCTTCTGCTTCACAACCTCAGGAGCCATCCAGTACGGCGTGCCCACCATCGTGGCACGTTTTGATTTTGCTTCTGTGAGCTTTGCGCAGAAACCAAAATCGGCTAGTTCGCGGTTAGCAAGTGCGTTTCCAGGTAGCGCCAAATAGGGTAAACTTACTGATCTTGACGTTTCCACGAGCATCAAGCAGGACATTGTCACTCTTGATGTCACGGTGGATAATGTTCTGAGAATGGAGATGCTGTAGACCCTGACATGTCTGGAAACGAATGTGTTAGCATTAAAACAAAATAAAACATGTTGATAATCAAGAGTTTTCTCAGTACCTCGTGGCAAATTGTAGAGATCTGGTCCTCCGTGATGGACTGGTTATTGTTATCAATCACATCGGTGAGAGCACCACCCTCCATAAACTCCATAACGACCCAAAGTTCGGAATTGTTGCTGCGTAGGAATGCGTCAAGGAAGTTGACGATATTCTTGTGCCGGCTGTCCTTCATAACCATGATTTCGTTCACAATCAGCTCCTTGCGGGGTTGATGTGCGAGGTCCATCTGCTTGATGGCGACCTGAGCCCTGCTACCATGCTGGCGAAGGATTTCTCGAGCTGTACCCTGGGCAGTCTCCTTGATCTTTGCCACATAGACAGATCCTGAAGCGCCCTGTCCAATCTTCTTCTGCTTAGAGTATGACAAGTTGGGGTCGTCTTTAGAGACAACCTCTTTCAACTTGGCCATAACCTCACTCTCAGACATCGTAGACATGCGAACATCCTGCTTCCTCTCACTTGGGGGAGGCTTGGCGGTAAGGGCCGCTTCGGCAGCCTTGACGCCCTCTGCAGGATGCTGGTGATGTTGCTTGGGTTGCTGCTGCTTAGGTGCCACGTTAAGGGGCTTAGGGGCAGCAGGTAAACGGGTAGCCTGGGCAGGCGATTGTGGCTGTTGGTGCGTCTTGTATTGAGGTCCTCCATTTGGATGGCGGGCCGTGCTTGGTGATGCTTGGGGAGGTGTGTCAGTTCGCTGTAAGCGTGGTGATGGCTCGCGAGCGTGAGAGGTTCCTTGGGTTGACACCTGCAGACGAGGCTGGGCATTGTTTGCTGATGAGGGTGGCGCAGGAGCTTGCCGTTGGGCGCGGAGAGGGCTGGGCTGCTGGTTGTTGGTTTTTGGTGCTGCTGGGGCGGCCCTAGCAGGGTTAAATCGATCTGGTTGGGATGAAGAGCCCGATCCTGTTGAGTAGCCCCCGCCTCCGCCAATCTCTTGCTTTGCCATTGGCACCTTCGTCTTAGGAAGGGAGGCATTGTATGCTTCGAGTTCCCGGCGTTCCCTCTCCTCGGCCTCCCTAAGCTTCTGAGCCTCGAGCTGCTTCTTACGCTGCTCCTCGCGAAGAGCATCCTGTGAAGAGTAGGCAGGCTGCGCGTTTTGGCGCTGCTGGTATGGATCTTGTTGCTGTCGCCACTGAGAATTGGCTGACGAGGAGGAGGAGGATGGTGCGGGGTTGTATGCCGGGCGCTGGGAACTGGGAGGGGGAGCAGGTCGCGGAGGTGCCACCGAGCTTCCTCCATAGCCGTACTGCTTGTTGGCGGTCGGCGTCAAGCTGGGGTATTGGTTGGGGTTGTCCTTCTTGGTAAGGTGGTCAGTATAGAAGTCAAGGACTTCGAACACGGCCTGCGGGTTCCGCTCGTAATCCTCCTTGGTAATAGCGGAGGAGTTCAGAAGTCGCGACCACTCGGGGGGTAAACCAGTAAACTCTCCTGTGGATGCATCAAAGCCAACGTGAACAGCATGGGAGAAGTTGGTCGGAACGCCCACTCCACCCATACCAGGGCAGGCACCATAAATGAAGTCGATCCATTCATATAAATCATCGTCTCCCTTCACCTTGATTTGCAGGGTCTTGGTTGTGCCATCGTCGTCGCCGGGGCTGTTGGAGGCACCGTCGGGCTTTCGCTTAATCTCGAAGATGGTGCCAGCAGACTCGACACGGCCCACGTTGACAACATCTTTCAAATATAAAGTGTATGATACTTTGCCGCCCTCTGCTTTGTGGAAATCCAGTGATTCTTTGCGCAGGATCAGGTATTTTTGCTTCCAGGGCTGGATGAAATTCCTGCTTTCTTTGACAGACGCCCAACCTTCCTTCTTAATGGCTACCCCGCCCATGCCATCAGTATTGTTAGACTGTTGGCGGGCGATTGGGAGTGAAACAGTAGAACCGGAATATGTCGATGTCACAGTGCTTCGAATCGGTGAAATGGCCATATTGGACATGCTTCCGGGCAAGTTTGCGTTGGGAGTAAGGGCAAGACGTGGTCGGTCGGTAGGAGGTCGCGGCGCCGGGCCGGGATTCATGAACTGGCCGGACGAATATATGCTGAAGCCTTTTGTCAGTCACAGTCCAAAGCATGCCAAAGGTTGCCTGATCAAGAATGCATTTCAATGGTAAGACATTGCCCGTCCAATATGCGTCCAAGTCGAGAGACCCAACGCAAAAGCCCGAGACCAGACCCCATGCAGATTGTGGAGATGAATCAGGTGCTACCAGGTGGCAATGCTGCGTGGCTCTCGACAACTCAGATGGTTCTTGAGAGGCCATTATTGCAGCAATCGTAAGCAGTGTCTGAGCCCCCTCCTCGCATGTGTGGGTAGGCGTGCGTGGGACTTGAAGCGACCTTGTTGATCCATTCAGAAGCAGGCATTTCAGAGTTGTCAACGTACCTTTCTTGTTGTGACATTTTGACGACAGTAAATCAAGCTGGTCTTTGGTGTATTTTGCTAAAAAGATATAAAATGGTTCGAGTGCGCCTGCATATGCTGCTCAATAGGAACGCTTGACGAGACGCTGAGGTGTGCGAGGAGATGACTGGAGAAGAGCATGGGGCGAGCGGCTAAGTCTAGGTGAGGGCTCGAAACGAGGGCCGCAAGAGACGCAGTTGCGACAAGGATTATAGCTAGCCGAGACCGCCCTACAAAATGACAGACACTTCCTCAAGCTCAACAGGAGGAGGTCATAGGCGAGGCGGTGGTTTTCGCTAGGACTTGGTCTCCCAACTTCGCTCGGTCGTAGGTGAGGGGGGGTTTTGTTCAATCGGGCGACTAGGGGTGGCAGGCGGCTGTTGGTACTGGTATTGCTTATGTGGGCGCAGGGAGGAGGCGGCGGTCACTGCAGAAGTCGCGCGAACAGGTGGGCTGCGGAGGCAGAGATTGTGGCGGGCAGACCACGAATAAACGAGTCCAGCCTCGTTATTATACAAAGAACGCTGTTAGGCTTGAGGAAGAAGCCAGGCAATGCAAGCTGAGAGGGGAGGAAGGGGATGTATGTAGAACAATGGAACGAGCCAGGAGAAGCCAACTGAGGACGGGGACTGGTACATAGGTAGGCACCTGCACCTTCAGGCGTAGACAGGGTGTGGGGAAGGAGGCGCCAGTTGTGGGTGTTGAGTGGTGACTCTCTCCTGAGGCCTGGGGCGGGCCCAGCGCATCAGGTAGGGAGCACGCTAGGGGATCGTTTACTGGAACCTCCGCCGCCAGTCAACCTCACCCAGTCAGCCCAGACTCCTACTTTATTAGGAGCTACCGCTCGACCATGGATATTAGTAGGAGGGTGGTTGCGATGTCAAGGCGTCGGGAGCCACGAGGAGGTGGTGGTTGCACACACTCTCGGAGCCGCCAATTGGTCTCCAGCTTCGGTTGCATTTTCGCTGATAGGCTCTTCCCCTGGCTGCATTTGGGGAGCCTGGCCGCCTGTCCAGGACGAGTGATTACCTTGCCTGGTACCTACCGTATCTACCTGCTGCACCCTACACATGGTCGTACTCTGTATGGAGGTTCTTCGAATTTTCCAATCATTCACCCTGATCATCTACCGTGCTCGCCGGCGGCCAATTAGTGCGACGGGTGTCACAGGCCATCTACTGCCGTCGACGCCAAATGCCAGTGCCTAAATATAGAGTCTGGCCAACCCGACAGCTGGGAGACGACGGGTACCTACCTACTGCCCAAGATTGATTGTACGACCAACCAGCCTGCGTCGAGTCATGGAGCCAGATATATCCTCGGAATGCCGTACCGCCAAGGAGATGGGTACAAGGTACTTACTCAGCCCCAGGACCTTGCTGCATTGATGCGCCGTGCTGCTCACTTTCCGCTGCATGATTGAAAAACTCCACGTCTGGGACCAACAATAAGAAGAGATCAGTCAGCAATAGGACAGCCGCCCCATTCCCACAGTGCCTATAATTATGATTGCTTACCTATTTAGTAGCCGTTATAGGGTTGCGTTGGTTGCCCACTGTACGGCTACTGTGACTCTAGACAAGTCGGCTGCTCCACCGGCGCTGCGTCCCATGCTGACCACCAAAGGGACCTTGGGAACTTCTGAGGTGAGGTGCCTGAGCAGACGTCGGCCGATCATTTGCTGTTGGGCACCACTGTCTTCAGCACTGTATCTTATTGTTCCGAGCAGCACAGGGGTGAATTCAGCCTGCCCGTAAGCATGTTCGCTGGAACTCACCGAGACCTCGTCATGCTGTGCATCGATAAATCACGTTTCGTGCTGTCTCGCTCTGCAAAGCAAGACGTCAGTGCCCGCTACCAGCGTTACATGCACTGGCGTCGATGGAATCTCACTTGTCCCTGATGGCTTTGCAGATCCGGAGGGTGCACCCCTGAGGCTAGCGTTTAGGATTCACCACCATGCTGTATAAGCGTCCGGCACTGGGAGGAGCACGCGATTGATTATAGCAGCCCAAATACATAAATTCTGTGCTGACATGGAACATGCCTTACCTTAGCAGGCAAGATATCACGGGATAGGCTCACCAGCCACACTATACGCCATTCCCGCTCCGAAGCTCCCAGCATGCAGTCAGCTTTGGCACGAAAGAGAACGCACATCGATAGAAGAGGAAATCCTCCAGCCGAAAATGCAATGATCCTTCGTAAAAGACGGACCCGAACCGGAGTGATGGGGGAAAAAAGCCTACCCATTCCCATGGGTCGGGCCTAACCTCACCAACTCGTTATGACTTCATATTACTAAAGTTCAAAACAGGAACAAGTCAAATTCCTACCCTAAGATAACTAAATTAAACCTGCCTTGTCCGTTTTTTGACCGTTGCCAATCACATCTTTCTAATCGGATCCCGATATGTTCCTCCAAAAAAGCTGGGGGTAATGCAAAACAGGCGCCCAAACAAATATCACATGTCACATCATCATCATCATCATCATGCCAGTCCCCTCCTAACAACTGCACGTCATGAAGATGTCCCCAACGATCAATGCGACCCGTTGGTCATGGGCGGCTCTCCTCCTCCCTCGTTTGTTGTAGTTTCCTGTGCAACTGGTTCGCTTGAGAGGTTTCCCTCGCAGCCCTCAGTTGGGCAGCTACTATCCACAGCTGAGCTGGTCCACGTCTCGCACGTGTCGCATTGCACGATGGTGTCGGGGATAGCAGGATTAGGCTCTGGTGAGTCCGGCATGGTGGTTGGATTTCCGAAGTTTGGTTGTTCAAAAGAAGAATCGGTGGGTTGTAGTTATGTCGCGGTCCTGCTTCGTAGCTGGTGGACTTCGACTTTTATAAATCCGTTTGGGTTTGAAAGAAGACGATTGGTTATGGTGTTGTTTGTTGATAACGAAGGGAACCCGTTGCTGAAGTGTGTTCTTGGGATATATTTATACAACGAGTTGGTGAGTGAGTACAGTGACTGTTTGCCTTCATCGTGGATTGCTGTATCCTATTCGCATCACTTTGTCGCATCACTTATATCCGACTAATCACAAAACGGTTGCACATGTATGTTGCATTGTGGCACTTAATGCCATGATGCACCGACAATCTGCATATCGTTGCTCTATCATAATCATAGCTAAACATAACATTTTTTCTCGCTTCACCTCTCGGCAACCTCAATCTCCTGGCCCTCGAACTTTGGAAGCTCAGCCTCGATATCAGCCCACGTCTTACTGCCATCCGCCAATGACTTAATGGCATCCACGATCTTGTCTTCCTCGGCACGGACCTGCCTCGTCGAATCACGGTCACGGAGCGTGAGGGTCTGATCCTGAAGGGTCTGGAAATCAACAGTGATACCAAAAGGAGTGCCGAGTTCGTCGTTACGGCTATAACGCTTGCCAATACTGGCAGATGAGTCATCTACACGGCTAGAGATTCCGAGACTGCGTAGACGCTGTGACAGCTTCTTCAGGTTTGGCTTGAACTGGACGTTGGAAGACAAGGGCACGATCAGCACCTTTGTGGGCGCGACAATGGGAGGGAAGGACAAGACCTGCGGGCGAGTTAGTGATTCACGATTCAAAGGAGGCCGGAATTTTTGTAGCAGAATCGGAGACTTACACCACGCGCTTCATCGCCACCATCGCTAGCTCGAGTCCAGAAGTTATGTTCGAGGAGAGCATAGAGCGTTCGGCCAATACCGAATGAGGGCTCGATGACATTAGGAGTGAATTCTCGAACGTTCTCGGTGCGCTTACGGAACTCAATCTTGATTGAGTCCTTGGTAATTTCGACTTGGCCATTGCCGACACCAGCGACGTCCAAGGTAATCTTACCGTTATCGCTGAGCTCTTTGGCCAGCTTCTCTCTTTGCTCCTGGGTGGTGGCCTCCAGGGCGCCCTCCACAGTCCTGGCGTCCTTCTTGAAAAGAGGACCAAACTTCTTCTTCTCAACATCAATCTGCCACTCCTCGATGACGAGAGGAACTTCACGTTGCTGGCGAACGAGGAGAGGGGCACCAGTCTTCTTGGCGTGGACGCTCAGGTCGTAAGCGCTACGGTCTGCACAACCAACGCATTCAACCCAGCCAGAGGAGGTCAAAAGCTCGCAGTCCCAGCAGTCAGCGGCGTAGTGGGCCATCTCGTTGGCCATGTGCTGGCGGAAGCGCATCTTGCTCACATCGACACCGATCTTGATCATGAACAAGTGGATTCGGGCAATGAAGTAACCGAGTGTTTCGTTGTCGACGAGCTTGGTCTTGACGGCCTCACCAATCTTGATGCTCTTGGTAGCAGTCTTACCAGAGAGCTGAGTGTCGCGATCCAGCAAGACAAGCTCAATGTCCTCAACCTCGGTGAATCGAGGGTGCTTCTTGCCACCTTCGGGGTCAACGAAATGCTCAATCTCGGCCATCAGGAATTCTCGCACTCGCAACAGACCGGCACGAGGCGAGATTTCATTTCGGTAGGACTTGCCAATGGAGGCAGAGGCGAAGGGCATGCCGGACTGGTTGAACTCGAGGAGCTTGGCAAAGTTGAGGAACTGACCCTGAGCAGTCTCGGGTCTCAGGTAACCAGCGAGGTTGCTGCTGGGGCCAATTGAGGTCTGGAACATGAGGTTGAATGCCACGGGGTCGCTGGGAAGCACGCCTGTCTCGGGGTTCTTCAGATCGTACTTCTTGATCAACTGACCAAGCTCGGGGCCGTCGTAGTTGTCGATCTTGGCCAGAACCTCCTCGTACTCTGTCACCACAGCATCGTCGAGCTTCACAGCCTCAGACTTGGCCTTCTTCTTCTTCTTCTTGGGGTCGGCCTCCTTCTCCACAATCGCCTGGCCACGTGCCTCCTTGTCACCTCGTAGTCTAGCCTCGAGAACGGCCTCGACGAAATGGTCGGCTCGCATAATCTCGCCGTTCTTAGGATCCTTGCACATCCAGTCGGCGAACTTGTCGACGTGGCCGCTGGTCTTGAGGACCTCGTGGGGGGTCAGGACGGTGCAGTCGACCTCGAGCATGTCCTCCTCCAGGATGAAGTGCTTGCGCCACTGGTCGATGATGTTGGCCTGAAGTGCGCAGCCGGGGGGGCCATAGTCGTAGAGACCGGCGACACCGCCGTAGATCTCGAAGGAGGGTGTGTAGAACAAGCGCCGCTTCAGCATGGCCTCGAGAAGGACCTTGTCCAGGGGCTGGCCCTTGAGGGTGGTTGCGCTGGGAGCCATCTTGTTCTGGGTGTTTGCTTTTTTGGAAACCGGGACTATGTATCTGTACGCGTGTGAAGAGGTGCTAAAGGAGCAAGCCTTCCGAGGGAAGCTGGTTGGTGCTCTAGGTCCTGTAGCAATATGAATCGAAGGTGTTGTGTACGGTCTAAAGACAGGTCTGGTGCAGACGGGGAGTCTTGAAGTATGGATGACTCGAATTGACTTCATCCACTCGGTATCAACGTGTGCGAGGACGAGCGCGTGAGTCAGAAAACTCAAGTCGCACTGGTTCCTCTGATGGTGGGGGAGGGGTAGGTGGGAGAAGGGCACAGAAGCGTCAAATCAGCCGCCAATAAGAGCGGTGCGATCAGTTGGGAACCCTTCTACTTGCAGAAGGAGGGTCTATCTTTTTAGCGTGTTATCTGCACCTGTGGCAGTGGTCACAGCACCTTACCAGGCTTCTGGCGCATTGAAGCTCCTCTCCCAAAACAGCTATATACCTGTGCTAATATTAGCGGGTTCCAATGCGTCAAGTGCTATCCTAGTGGCGGAATGAAATTTTGTTGATGGGCGAGTTCATGTCATCACTTTCTGAGTGTTCATCAATGATGCTTTTTTATTCCCCTGGCAGACGAATTATTCTTTTTTTGCCTGTCAGGAACAACTTTAACGCCGCACCCCGACGGTTTGGTCTCGTCCCCAAACCTCCCAGTTACCCTGTAGCAGCGACATCGGGATGACAGTCTCAATACATTAGACAAGTTGTCAACCTATCTCTGTTATTGAGATTAGGAACGTTACTAATGCCGAAAATTGTCTCGAGTTCTTTCTGCTTGTGATTACCTAGTTGTTGATTTGGTATCCATGTATCGTTCCTCTGATTGACTGTATTATCATGCCTAATCATCTCGAGTTCACAAAGGTTTCTAAGTTCGTTGGTTCAAGAAGTCGTGCCAGACCATCAACTCACCTAACAAGATAAAAGCGTTGATAAGAGAAGTGAAGAAGTCAAGCCGGTGAAAATCCAGTGAAATGCGAATAAATAGCAGAAAAAAACCACTGCTCGCTACATGATACTCATTGATGTTGCTTAAGCACAACTAGAGCAGACGTCCGTAACTGTCGACGACCCTCTTTGAGTTTTTCGACCTCTGAACTATCTTTCTTTTCTTCTTTTCCCTTTCCTTCTTATTATGCTAAAGCTGCACGTTACTTATCATCCGTCATGCCGCACTGCCGTTGACTTTATCAAAGGGCTTGGGAGTTGGTGGCCGACTTTCGCTTCTGTAAAACACAATGTGGGAGCGGTTGGCGACGTAGTCGCTATCCGCATACCCCAGGATCTTCTCAATCTCCACGCTCTGGTGACCCATGACCTGACTGATCTCAGCCGCGGCGTAGTTCACGAGCGCTCGACCGACCTCTTCAGCGTGGTCACCACGCAGTCTGCCGTCTGGCCCGGGCTCTCGTAGCCTGTTGACGACAACGAGCCGCACGGCGTCATGCTGGGCAAAGTTCCCTTCAACGTCAACAATACCCACAGGGAGCAGCCCGGCCTTGCCAAGCAGTGCCCGGTGCGCCCCCTGGTCGATGT